CCCAAATAACAACAAATTTCAAACAGTCATATAGCTACGTATACTCTCTTATAATGCAAAATTAGGAGAGAAACATTTAGTGTTTTCAATGTAGAACTACATGTAGGTTACCTTAAGATTTAACCCCCTGCAAGAAGTAATCTTGGAACCGATTGCAGAGCCTGTTTCTCCGTAATTCTACATGAAGCGTACACCCTTAAAAGGAATTTAGCAAGCCTTGCAAGTGTTAGTTCGACACTGACGTCACTTTTATGACGTCACAACGCTAACTGTGACGCTAGTCGGATACAGATGCGTCACATTTAAAGTTTCTTTCAATATTGCATAATTATTGTGTTTTGAGTCAAAACTAAAATTGCCACACATAAACTTAATTTTGTATTAACCGCCAGTCTGCATTTTATTACAAACAATGAATCATAACATTATTTCAAAATGCCTGCCGATAATGACTAAGAAGTCAGTACTTCGATAAATATTAGCTTCCTCGGTAATGCGGCCGCGGTTTTCCCCTGCAGAGGTCGTTACTGTGATTTTGACACCTTGACTGACTTATCAGTATCGATTACTTCCAAATTCATGGTAAATATATATACTGAACCAAATTAAAAACTTCACAATCCTAAAATTTTTCACATTTTGACCAGTTATCATTGTTGGCCCTTATTGTGTATTTAAACAGTAATGGTCACGTATTGTCTTCAGATAACACCCGTTTTTGTGCAGGTGAATTGATCAGAATCATGTGCACAGCACTATAGTGGCAAAAGTGTTTTTTCACGTGCAACTTGTCACGTGGCCATAATACCGCACGTGTTTTCAGCCATACTTGTTAGCAGTCATTAAAAAAACAAAAAACACACAAGAAAACAAAAGTCTTTACGGCCATTTGTCATCGGCATGTTGCAGATGGGAACGTCCGTAGCTGAAGTCGCAAGGACGATGGGTTGTAGCCGATGGACTGTTTATGATTTACAGACGCGTCAGCAGCAAACGGGTACCACCGCTGATCGCCCTCGGCCAGGTCGACCACGTGTGACGTCACATGCAGAGGATCGTCAGATTGTCTTACGTCACCTCCGTAACCGATTTTTGACGGCTACATCAACCAGAAATGAACTGTTTAGGGGTAGACTGAGTGCGCAAACTGTTCGACACCGTCTGAGAACTGCTCACCTTCAAGCACGACGGCCATACTGCGGGCCGATTCTGACTCAATTACACAGGCGTTAACGTCAATTGTGGGCACAGCGACACTTACGATGGACTCAGAGGAATTGGAATCAAATCGTCTTCAGTGATGAATCCCGATTTAATCTTCGATTTGCTGATGGTAGGGCGAGGGTATGGAGGCGCCGTCATGAACGTTACACCCAGTGTTGTGTACAGGAAGTTGACAGATTTGGAGGCGGAAGTGTCATGGTGTGGGATGCTTTCTGTGGCAATGCACGTTCCAGGCTTCTTGTCATCCGTGGCAACCTCAACGCTGCTGCTTACCGCGACCAGGTACTGGCACCAGAACTTCTGCCTTTTATGGCAGCACATGGTCCCGGTTTGATCTTCCAACATGACAATGCCAGACCCCACACAGCAATTTTGACAAGGAATTTCCTTCGGAATGCGGGAGTCAACGTCATGGACGTCTCCTGACCTCAATCCCATCGAACACGTCTGGGATGCTCTTGGCAGAAGTCTGCGCACTCTCCAGAACCAACCACAGAATTTGCAAGATCTTGGCACTATTTTGCAGCAACAATGGCGTCGTCTTCCGAATCATGTGTTCACAAGCATCACAAGGTCCATGCGGAGGCGTTGTGTGGAAGTTGTCAACGCACATGGTGGCCATACACGCTACTGAACTTGTGTGCCATCTGATTTTCGTGCTTGGGACTTATGATTTAAACTGTTGATGTTACTACCGGATAGCGTAGGTGCTTGGAACAAATTATGGTTACCACCGTTAATTAAAATCCTTCTTTGGACATTAATGATTAAAAATTACCTTCTCTTATACATTTGTCCGTTGTATATCATATATGGGATTACTTTTAAAAATGTGAAGTTTTTAATTGGACTCAGTATATCTATTTAAGATCAAGAGCGCGACAGTATTTATCCTGCGATAATGTTCAAAGGATGTATCCCGGCCGTGATGTAACGTATCCATATACAGGATCCTACAACGGTACCAGTCATCAACACTACAGATGACCGACCACGTAGTGGAAGACCAAGGGTCACCACCAAACGTCATCAGGATCGTCATATTGTGCAACAGCTTCTTCAAGATCGCATTGTTACTGCTGCGAAAACTGACTGAGGACACACTAGCAACACATTAGTGCGGACACCGTGCGTCGACGATTGACGAGCAGACACCTCCACTGTCACAGGCCACACCGGGGACCCATTCTGACACCATGTAATCGGCGGGACCGTTTTCAGTTGGCAACACAGCACCAGCATTGGTGCCACCAGAAGTGGAGAAGAGTTCTCTTCTTAGACGAAAGCCGTTACTGTATCTCAACAGCAGATGGCAGAGAGAGAGAGTCTGAGCGACGCCGTGGGGAACGTTATTCGGATGCTTGTGTTGTTGAGAGAGACTCGTGGGGTGATCCGAGCATCATGGTCCGGGGTGGAATTGGTCTTGCACAGAGGGTCGGCCCTATGGTCTTCCAGAACATCGGTCCAGGGAGAGGCAATGGTGTCACAGCAGCTCGGTACATTGATCAAGTCTTGAGACCCAAGCCGTACCTCATTCGTCACGTCGCCGCAACCACGAGTTTCAGCAGGATAACGCCCGTGCCCACACTGCGAGAGCAACAAGAGACTTCCACTAGCAGAATGGCATCAAAACCATGCAATGGCCTGCCCATCAGTCCCGATTTAAATCCCATTGAGCACCTGGGGGACGAGATATAAAGACGGCTGAATGACGTCCGACCAAGGCCGACAACTGCAGCTGAACTGCGTCAGGCATTCCTCAGAGTGTGGGCTCAAGTGCCTATGGCCTTCATCAACCGCCTTATCCATTCCATGTAGCGACGTTGCACGGAAGTCATCAATGCACATGGAGGACACACGAGATACCGACTTGTGATGCCATTTTCTCAGAGACTAGTGTTGTGTTTCACTTTAAGAACATTTGACACTTTAATTTCAACCTTGATGATCAGTTTTGCCACGTTTCATCTTTTTAATATGTCTCAAAGTATGTTTGCAGTGTTTGGAAAAATAAGGGTTCTCATATATCTATCCATGGTGACGTTTCTTTTGCGGTTCAGTATAGTTTCAGCAGCCTTTTGGCGTGATCGGTCTCACAAAGATGATGTCAACCACTCTGAAAGCTACCCTAAACATACACACAGGAGACAAAGTTGTCAGCGGCGGGCTTTGGTCCACTATAAATTATGCCTTTAACTGACCCAAGAATGACAAATGCTTAAACATGACAAAATCATACTTCTCTTGCTCAGCATAGGGCATTTACAAGTAGCAGCATACTGCACCCACACCATACGACCTCTGTTGCTCTTTCTCCGCCATTTTACGTCAAGTCCCTTCGCCTAGGCCGTCGATTAACGTCAGTTGTACGATATCCTCCTCGGTAAGTAGTATGTCTTGTTTGTTTGTTTGTTTTTTGTTTAACGCCGCACTCAGCAATATTCCAGCTATATGACGGGGGTCGGTAAATAATCGAGTCTGTACCAGACAATCCAGTGATTGATATCATGAGCATCGATCTAGCAATTGGGATCGATGACATGCATCAACCAAGTCAGCGAGCCTGACCACCCGATCCCGTTAGTCGCCTCTTACGACAAGCATAGTCGCCTTTTATGGCAAGCATGGGTTGCTGAAGACCTATCCTACCCCGGATCTACCCGGGTCTAGTATGTCTTGGGTAAAGTCTCCTAATTAATATTAATGGTGGGAACATAAGTTTTAACTTTTACGACGGAAAACACCCAAATTCACAATAACCAGTGGCACAAAACTTCGCTTATGTTTAAAATGGGTTAGCTCAGAATCACAATGCATTTCTTAAATTTTTAGTGGCACGTAATCTCTATGAAAAGCATTTCGAAATTGGAGTACAAAGCCTTGTCCTTACTTAGTCTCGTGTCTTTAACTGAACCAAACTCATGGAGAGGGAGTCCTTAGTTGGATAACTTGTTCCCAATCCATTTCAATCTGAATAGAATATGTTTAAATCAACAACAAAAAACTGATAAAATCATGTATACAGAGCTTACTTATTGTATCGCTGTGTTGAATTTTGGATACTCATGCGTTACATGGAAAATAAAATGTGACGTATTTAACACCAAACTACACACAGATGGGTGTTTTATTATAAATAAACCATATTTCACTTCTTTCCGTATTGATGCAGGGACTGTTTGTGGAACAGCCAATCAGTCAGCCTTGTTTCAATTTACAGCGTCGCTTATGACAGATTCGGTTTCAACACGTTACCATTACATCACATAGGTTGATCTCTGAAATTTGGCATATAAGAAATGTAATAAAGTTTGCTCTGCTCCCATGTGAAGCGTAATAAAGTATTGTTTTCCCATTCACATGGGGGCAAACTTTATGACTAAAACATACTTGATCGTTCTTGATGTCATATGTATGTCTTCAGATTTCTTGGCTCTCACGGTCGGGTAGCCTAGAGGTTAAAGCGTTCGCTCGTCACGCCGAAGACCCGGGTTCGATTCCCGACATGGGTACAATGTGTGAAGCCAATTTCTGGTGTCCCCCGCCGTGATATTGCTGGAATATTGCTAAAAGCGGCGTAAAACCATACTCACTCACTCACTCACTTGGCTCTCTGTTTCTGTGCCATTTCCACAGTTGATCGTCCTTGATGTCATAAGTGTGTCTTCAAATTTCTTTGCTCTCTGTTTCCGTGCCATGTCCACAGTTGATCGTCCTTGATGTCATGTGTGTGTCTTCAAATTTCTTGGCTCTCTGTTTCTGTGCCATTTCCACAGTTGACGCATGCTTCCGTCGCATGTCTGTCGGACGAGAATGTGTCCCTCTATGGCAATACATTCCCCATGATCTGTCTGGATAGACCGTCCGTCGTACCTCCAGGCCTGATGCCCCCCTTCACCATGGCATCTGGCCATTTGGACTTCCCTCGAGAACCCAGAATCCATGCAATGGAGGCTGTATCTTATCTCACCCAGTTCGCTCATATCCCAGAACTGACTTCCTACGTTTTCATGACAAGGCCACACTTCTAACGCCACACCATAAGAATGGTTTCTAGCATCTACGCACATCGACGGTTGTAAAACAGAACGTATGTCTCCATTGTATACACCATCGCCCATTATGTACAGTTCTGGATGGACGTTGTTCAAGTACCACTGAAATGACTTACATCCCAAACCCTCTCTGAGTTTCTTCCTATCAGAAACATCTCCTATATCAACCAATTGTCCGTCGGAGTTCATGGTGAATTTCTTGAAGTCGTCCAACCATACATTACCAACCCGCCCTGTGTTACGGTGATAGGAGTAATAACTTGTTACATTTCCATAATGATAATTAGAATGAGTACGAAACACATGCCCGACGTGGGAACAGGGTATCATTTCTATACGACCTCCACACGTCCATACTTTCAAGCTTAGCTCTATATTCTCCCCACCCCATATCAAAAGGTCCGGATCGTATTTCCCAAGTCTTTCAAACCACGATTTGCTTATTGTAAACATCCCACCCGCCATTGCAGGTGTGTAAATTGGATCAGTGACTGAATGAACTCGTATTTTTTCTCTTCTAGGAATGTATACCCAGTCATACGATAACAAAGGGAAAGACAGTACGGCTACGTGAATAGGATTTGAGTTTTGGATTCCAAAATCTTCACTATTTATAATCTCTGTAACAGGAACAGCAACGATCTTGGGATCAGTGGCAACCCTTGCCAAAAGAGGTTCCAACCATCTCTGGAAACATTCGCAATGGCTATCCAGGAATGTCACAGTTGAGGAAGTTGCAGCATCGAATCCAATTACCCTTGCTTTCATGAGCCCAACTCTGGTTTTACTCCGTATAAGTCGGACTTTAGGATACCCAGCCATATATTCCGCGAGTGGTGCCTTGAGATGTTCCCTCTCTGATGCATCATCCACGAGGAGAAGCTCTTTCAATAAACTCGGAGGTGTGTTGTCAAGGACGCTGTGGACAGTCCGAAGCAAAGTTGACCAAGTCTCATTCATGAATATAATAACAACGCTTGTCTGTGGAAGTGTTGAGATATCATACGTTATTCTTTGGCACTCGTCAGGTTTAGGAAAAGGCGTGCGTCTTTGGAGAGGAATCAGATTACTCACGTATTCCCGGAAGCCATTCTCCTTTTCGCTCATGTCATATTTCAGTCTTTCCTCTGTGGGAAGCTTCAGTTTGTCTATGAGGACAGGTAGTCCTTTATCCCCTGGGCGAGACAGATTGAACATTGTCTTCACCAGAGACATATCAGGCATGTGAGGAATAGATATGAAAATTGACGGCACAGCATCTCCACTACGATCAACCATTGTGTCTTGTTTTCTTAAACCCCTTGATATTTGTCCACGATAATTTGAAAATAGTATGAATGTTATCACACAAAGAAATAACATGCACCATGCCAATTTTCTCCTTCTTGTTCTAAGCTTAAGATACGACATGTTTCACTTTAGAGACGCAGGAAACATGTGGATGAAATGACGTTGTGCTTGTATTTATGACAATAATTTGGGACTATAAAAGAATGCATGTGACACGTCCTTTGAAGCTATAATGATTAAACAATATATTCATCGAATTTGCTAGTGCCGTGTATTGATGAAACAGAAACTATGAAAGATGGTCAACATGTTACATTGACTGACACGCCGGGAGTATTGATTTTGCCGACGTCCGGTTGGTTTATGTGTAAGAGGTCATAGGAGGCGCCGAGACAGCCAGAGAACTTTGCTTTATCGGTTCGCCAGAATGTGACTGTTTTGTTTTGAACATATGGCATCAGAAATTATCTGCTTTGTCATCTTCGGACCACAGTCCCACCTTGCTTAATCCATTACATGCTTGAGGAGTTTGCTAGAATGATTATCTTTTTCATTTCATAAATTAAAAAAAGGAAAAGGCTTGTGTATTATATACATAACACATCACTAAATTGCATTACAATCATTCAAACTCAGAATATTATAGGAGTTTTAAACCTCTTTAAGAAGAACTGATTACAAAGATACCCACGATTTCACCGCTTGGGATCAGAATGCAACCATACAAATTGATCTGAATATCATATCACAATTTCGACTCGTCCTTTGCAGTTGGTGAAGCCCACTTTCTCACTCACTCACTTACAAAGTGTCAGACTATAACTAGAAACAGTTACGAGCCAAGTATGATTCCCATAGATCCATGCTTATTGAAGGTTCCAAGGACAGTGGCAAAGTTGCAAGTGCCAATGTCTCATTGGATCCAAAACTGTATCTTCCAGAGTCCCAAATAATGACTCAATTTTCACCGCTGAGGCCAAAGCTATTTCATCAATGTTTTGATCTATGGACTAGAAAGGTTTCATCGTCTCTCTGTCATGGGTGCGGGCACTTAATTGTGTGTCCTCTAGTCATCGCTTGATTCTAGAGATTTTTTAACTACCCAAAGATCTTTCTAATGGATCAGTCGTATATTATTTGTTGCCAGCCACACTGGCTTAGTGCTGAAGCTAAAATACACTCTGAAGACTCACATATATTTGCATTGCTGGTGTGGTCCGAGACAGCTCAAATATTGGTAAGTCCTACTGGATTACTAAGCTCCATAAGAAAATCCGTACAAAGAAAGATATTGCTGAGTCTAGCAAATATTCCACCATATCACTGGCTCAAAAACTAACCACAATCGTCAACACACTCTTTATTTTACGAATTTTGGGGTATAATCGAACAAGCTCTTTCTACGGAAATGACAAAGAGCGTCATATGACTCTTGCCCAAAAGTTGTTTCATCAGGGCTACAACTTTTAAGGCCTTAGCGAATGTTTCAGGAAGGTGAGGAGGATTTTCTTTTTTAATTTCGACGAAACTGATGGGCATCGGTGAACAACATCATATACAATGCAATTCACTCTTTTGACTTGTACCACGTGTTCATGCGTTTTTTCTTTTCGGGTGAAATGTTTTTTTGCCTCTGCGTGTGTTTGTGATGGTTGCCACCAATGACACAATGTACACTCGGCTTTTCACGAACAAACGGTATCATCACTTTTTAATTGTGATTCATAAATACTTGCATGATGTCTTATGATTTTGGAGAGTGTCTGGAGAAATTAACACAATGTGGATTCCAAAAACTCTTTTGTCACCAAATATGATTTGGCTGAGATTATGACTAAATTATTCATTTTGAAGTTCAGATATACTCACTCACCCGAGAAAATCATTCGAGCCTAAACACAAATATTAGTCAAATCGCTCATTACTAAAAGTATATATCTCAATATTTAAGGGATATTAAGCTGAAATATATCAAAAGCGGCGTAAAAACATACTAACTCACTCACTCAAACATTTTTTTACAGAACGCTCTTTGGCATTAAAAAGACGGCAGTTACTAATGGTCGTTACTCACGAGACCAACACTGATTGAAATGTGAACGATATTATAACATGGTTTACAACTGACAATATTGATTAGGTAAGCTCTATAATCTGTAACAGATTGGTACATTTTGTGCATTATTGATTGTAAATTGATTGACAGCTGTTTTACATCAACGCGTTTCTCGCTCCAGTGCATGGCCAGATACATGTAACTGAAAGTTAAACGCTGAAACAGTCCGGGAATTACCTGAATCCGAAAACATGAATCCTCGCTATATTTAATGTTTTAGTATTAGTTTTTAGAACGTTAAAGACATATGGCAACACTCACATAGCTGTCGTCTTTATCAATAGAGCTGAAGTTTTGAAGGTGGTCTTTCATGACTATGAAACGTTGGTCATTCGGTAAATGAAAGCGACAAAACCCTTTAAATAATCTAAGAAATCTCTGCTTAAAAGAGAGTCCATTGTACGATTCATACAGTATCATGATCATGTGTTTATTAATAGTGATGCAACCAGGTGTTCGCGAATAGGTGAGCGTATCCTGCCCCAGCGGTGGCAATCGTCAATTGCTTTTCTAGTAATATATATTTAATCATAGAAGATAATATACACATGTGTTCGACGCTTCGTCTTCCCTAAAGGGCTTGCTTCCAATAAGGGGGGCGGTCGGGTAACCTAGTGGTTAATGCGTTCGCTCGTCACGTCGAAGACCCGGGTTCGATTCCCGACATGGGTACAATGTGTGAAGTCCATTTCTGGTGTCCCTCGCCGTGATATTGCTGGAATATTGCTAAAAGCGGCGTAAAACCATACTCACTCACTCCGATAAGGCCTCTGACTTTTGGTAGGAATAGGGGTGGCTTGTGACTGTCATTACAGTAATGTATATCAATTCTAATCATGCACCAATTATCCATGTCCTAATATTATCAAATCCATTAAATTATTTCAGAGTACAGTAAACTACGTTTATAACGAACTGGGTTTTTACCTCGGTCATGTACTGTATATATGCCGTATTGTTTAAACATATTTATTTTTCCAAAAATCTGACAATGGATTGGTAAACAAGCGAAGGCTTATGTTAATATCGCTCCATTACACATAGGACATTATACAATAGATACATCAGTGAAGGTTAGATGTAATAAATGAATTGTACATGCCAAGCAAGATGTGTATATTTAATAAATATATTTGCAGTTTATATTAAACAATTCATTTTATTAAAAATCTTCCAGTTTTTAATGGAAAATTTTAAATAGAATCAAATGTTTGGATTTGCTCTTCGTTACTCAAATACGAATTTCCGCAATACCCTGTTTGTAAAGAATACCATGTTGGTAAAGATACATTTCATTTCGAAGAACAAAGTAATTTGTACACACAAACAAGAAGTGTAAAGCATCTTCGGTATGATATTCACAGGAATAAGTTTTTGTATCCAAATAATATCTATCATACTGAACTGCGTTAAGTTTGTGACTGTGAATAATTTGACATAACCTGCTTCCATAATTTAAATCCCAGCGTATAACATTATCTCCCCTTACGTGAAGCAAATTCTCAAATTGTGTAATGGTCTCCGCCCCCGTTAGGTTTTCTGCTAACATATTCCAAAGTTTGGATACAGC